TGTTAGTGGTTGTTGTTGTTACTAAGTCAGCAGAGATAAGTAGAGTGATTTCCATTACTGGCATTTCTTTACTGTCTCAATATGCCTTTAATTTACTGAATGCTGATAAACAACCCCTGAAATTCGTCCTTGCCGGTCGTTCGTATGGTTGTATCTTTATTATCGAGTATCTTAGGTACTAAATATTCCAATAACTACAACTTAATAACTTTCGTTCGACCATTAAATCAACTCATTTATCATTTCTCAAAATTCATTTATCAAACCTATTTAGTACGATATTGGAACTCCTACTTGCGAGTAGTTCTGATTAATTGCGTTGCGGGTTTCAAAACAGTTTATTTAGCTAAGCCCCAGACTGAACTAACTTTAGTTCCGTTTCATTAGCGGTCTGTGAATCCTAGTTTGGAAGTTGTAGAGTCGTAAACAAGTGGTTTGAATACCCTTTATAAAGCCTGGAAGCCAAATCAATAGAGTATCGCAATAACTGGGTAACCTGGATTTCAGAGAATTATTAACTGAACTTACTGATTTGTTGCTGGAATTGTAGCTTTGAAAGAGTTATTTGTTTGATATGAGTTTAGTGTACTTTTCTCAGTAATTTGGTTCATTATAGTTTAGCCAATACAGTCCACTGCTGGACGAAAACCTGCCCAAGAAAAACCGAAAAATCCCGATCTCCGGTCTTTTTCGTCTGAGTGCTGCTAAATTGTACCTTTAAGAGTTATGTTTCCTCTGAGTCTAGTGTTCACTCAGTTATCTGGTTCACCATATCAGCCAGTTCACTGCTGGACGAAAACCTGCCCAAGAAAAATCCAAAAAAAAAACCGTTTTTTTCTTTCGATCGCTGCTAAATTGTACATTTAAGAGTTATGTTTCCTCTGAGTCTAGTGTTCACTCAGTCATCAGGTTCGTCATATCAGGCAACGGCAAATGGATGAAAAGCTTTCCAAGAAGAACCGTAAAGCTCGTATCCTGTTTTTTCCTGCTAGAGCTCGTCAAAGCTCGATTTCCCATCCTTTTCGTTCGGCGCTTCTAGAGTTCGTCGGTCCATCAAGCAGTGGTCCATCGATCATCTGATCAAAGCATTCCAAATATTAGTAGGTACCTACATCGTCTGAATTGTATGTTAGCGATTCAGTAACTTTTAATAGACCGAATGCACCAGCACACAACAAAACTCCGAAGTTTACAGTTTGATTCCTTGCTAAGTAAGATTAAACCGATAGATTTTCCGATGAAAAAATAACTTAGAGGTTCGTTTCGGTGAATATGATTGCTATCGGTTCCATTTATTCAAACATTCATACATATTAAGAAATAAATGGAAATCTATTGAGTACCTACCTACTTTGATTATTTTTCCACGCGGTATTTAACGCTGAAGAAATAAGCAGACACATTTAGTCTGCTAAAATTGAGGGTAAATCAACTTAATAATTTCTTGATTAATTCTCATAGCAATTCAGGAACGAAAATAGGCTTAGTAAAATCTCCATTCGGAAATCGGCAACTAGTCTTCTCACATAAACCGCGCCTGTAAAAAAATAGTGTAAGCAAGTTGAAGTGCGCAAAATGAAATACTATTTGCCGCTGGCATTCTATTCTGATGGGCAGCAATGCGTACACAATTTCATAACTTTACATTAGCGCCGCTAGCTACAAATTCACGACTACTAACGCCATCTACCACAATCTGTTTGAACTACAATATACGCGTCGCCTCTGATTGGGCATGACTGACGTAAAAGTCACCTTGCCAATAGAGATAGCCATATCGCACCGTCCGCTAGCGAAAGCGAGATAGAACAACAACAAACGCGGTCTCCATCGATTCGGAGGTCAGTTGGCGCATGTCAAGTGCATTCCAATAAAAGTAAAATAGACACAGAACGTCTGTGGCCCTGTGCGTTGTCTATGGCTTATTTATTGCCTATCAACGGGTGCGTGGGCTAGAATTGGAATCAGGATGGTATGGAGGATGGAGGATGTAGGGGTCATTTGGAAATACATTTAAAATAGTTTTTAATACTTCATGAGTAGGAACATGATGATTTGTATAACTTTTCCAAACCGGGTCTATACTTTCTTTAGCTCGCGGCTTTGGTAGTTAATGTTTAAATTTCGTTTGTCACAAATCGTTTTTCTAAGAATATAAGCCTATAAAATAATTATGCTATATAAACAATAATACTGTATTACTGTAAAGTTTCATCAAAATCCGTTCAATAGGTTTTGCGTGAAAGAGTAACAAACATCCATATCTATTTTTACAATCTTCACTTAACATTAGGAGAATTGTTGTTTTCATGTGTTTTATTTTTATTTTTTATCAAACAAACAAATTAATAATTGTAATATTAAATCCGCTGGTAAATAATTCTTATAGTTCTTCAAAATAAAAATCAGTTAATTACTTGGGAAATAAGATCAATGAGAAGTTTGAGAAGATAAATGAATCAAATTGGTTAACTAGCGTTCTACACTGATAACATGTCAACCAAAAGTACTAGCCGGCCCCACGTAACACAATAACAAAAATGTTACCGGTTAAACTTTATTACACTTTAGCCCAACCTCCCCCGCATATAAATAACGTAGAGCTGGTATGTGACCAAGACATCTTATCTTATTGCTCTCGAATGAAATGTTACAATAAAACGATCGTAATTCTGCTTCGATATGGTTATTATTCCACGATAATAAAAGGTTTCCAGTATTATTTAAGTTACCTAGTCATAAATACAGCAGGACTATCAAAACGTTACTCTACATTTTCAATAACAGGGATAAAGTGTAAGTAACTGAAAATGTGTGTAATATGTGTTGGTTTAAATGAAGAGTTTTTTTTTAAACCTTAGCTTGAAATGTAGACAAATCTTTCTAGTTATACGAGTAATTAAACTATGAAAGTATCGTTGATATCTTTGCACATGTTTTATAGAAACTTTACTGACAATTTACTTACAGGTTTTGAGCAAAGTGCACTACATGACTTTATAAAAATAAGCAAATTAATATTCCTATCTACTACTGACCCGACCAGGAAATGAACTTTGAACTTTTTTACACTATGTCCATCGGATGCCACTTAACTTTCATTCAACTTCGGGTCAGGGACATTAAACTTCAAGTTTATTTACTCGGTTTAATTACAATGCGGGTCCTGGAATACTAAAGCTATCCCTTGGGACTACAAAACCTTACTAATTTGATGAGCAGGAATACTTCCCTAGTTAAGGAGTGGCTGTGGGCGGTGAAACGCGAATGTAAATTCTACTTGTTGAAATAAAAACCAAACCAAATGGTATCGGTTTTCAATTCTGCTACTGGAATAGCTCTACAAAAAATACGTAGCTTTCAGGTATTTGCGCAAATCAGAAAATTTATATTTATAGACAGTGTTTTTGTATTTTCTAGCTGGGCGTTGGCATTGTACGAGTTGAGTACGAGTAGGTATATGACATTACATACTTTGAAGACATTCATTTGAAAAGCTCTACATTTTTATTAAAACTAACTTGACATAAATTGTATACTTAACTAGTTATCTTTAGCGTCGTTAATTTGTATGAAGGCTTAATTTACCTCTAATAACCCAAAGTCACATGCCCCTAATCCGCCAAACTTCTTCATCAAACAAACTTTTTCGAACTGTTTAACATTACTTCGGCTTATCGCTTAGTTCGTTAATCATCGGCTCAGCCACCGCCGATAACACAATGTAAAGATAGGTCACGTATCCGCGCTACATTGTACCGACTATAAAGTACACCTACACACCCCAGCTGACAACAACAGACGCATTAACTCCATCCTTTTTCACCCCACGCGTTTTCCTATCACCGTCTCCGTCCCACGATTTCCACACACCCTTTTAACAAACTGTTGAATCAACAACGTTGGTGTACTTTTGAGTTTTAACGCTCCAAACATAAAGTACAATTCAGCTTGAAAAGGCACCAGGAAAACGCGAGCATTTTTTTGAATTGAACGCATTTGTGTGAGTTGGTAATTGACCGACACACACGTAAAATCAGCCCGTACCACGAAACGAACAGCGCTGAAAGGAAAATCGTTTCAGCAAAGGAATGATGTGTCTTTGTCATTGTTGGTATGCGCGAAAGAGAGGAAGTCAATGTCAGCTGGGATGTGAGCGACTTTGTTGTGAGTTTAGGTGGTAGAGCCCCATCTCGGTGGATGAGAAGACGGGATCGATTTGTGAAAAGCAGGTTCACGCGAGATAGTATTTTCCGAGATAAATCTAGAGATTTGTCGACTTTTTACACAGTAAGTTAAATTCGCGGTTCTGCTGCTGAGTATTCGTGCATCGTTCCACTATTAAATGGTCTGACGAAAGTTAGTGCCGTTAGATGTCACTCACCAGGGAGTCATTGGTTTCCATAGTTTCCATTTCCTCAGCTCAAAAAGAGGAAGATATTTTTTTTATCTGTATGTCTAAATGTGTATAAAATAGTTATTGGGGTACATTATTTTGAAGACATAAGATAGAGAATTTGATAATACTTAGTCCTTACCCTGTTTCTTTTATTGTAATGAAAGTTTAACTAAAGTAAGTAGTTTAGAAAAGTTCCCAATCTCTACATTCCCAATAATTAAACTTACGAGTGTTTTTATTTTTTAAGAAGCAGGTTTGTGGTTAGCTTTATTTTTGTATTCGGATGTGGGAAATTCGGAAACGTCAATGACTTTGACAGAAACATGTGATTTTACCTCGAGATTCGTCGTGAAAATTGTGTCATCGTGTAACTCAGCACCACCCACACATGTCCAAAAAGCTACTAACCCCACTCACACAGTCTCACAATGGTCATAATACACAGGGGAATTGCTTCTACAACGTCGAACAGTGCACACAGAGACACAACTAGCCAAGCGATTCTGAACCCTAAAGCTATGGTTAAGTGTCCTACATTTACCGATCCGTGAGATAACCTCAAAATTTGAGTTTTTGACCTAAAGTGTCATGATATCGGGTGTTTCGCGGATTCTCCAGCGTTTTTTGTCGTAAAAATTGTTTATTTAGTGTTAGAACTATTTCTCGTGGCGTGGTTGTTGAAGTTTAAGTGATGCTTTCAGTGTGTGGTGTTACCCAGTGGGTTTGGCTGTAGTTTCGGAGTTGGCTACATTTTTCAGGATGTCGCGTACTCCACTTGTGTTTTCGGCCACTCAACTTTTATGATAGTGTTGTTTGTGTTGTTACAAAAGTGGTTAATCGATTACTCGAAGAATAATGAGTGTAAGTATGTATTTGTAGTGATGTAGATACTCGTAATCGGTAAATTAAAGTAAATATTTCATAGAGTGTTAAATGATAATTACATTATAAAGCAACAATAAAACTTAATAGCTTTTAAGATGAATTGTTTAAATTGTGAGCTATCAATCTTAAGGCTATGAGTATTAGGTTGAGAATGGCCTGTGCGTGTTTCTCATATACTTACGAGATGTCAGTTAAGAGCTTTTCATTAGAAAGAATTTTTTTATTACGCGATGGAAAATTAATCGTAAATGAAATTACGAAGTCGAGTTAGAAACGGTATGAAATTTTTTAAATAAAAATTATACGTTATTTTAGGTAAGTAGGTATATTATTCTTATTTGAAATATATTTTATACCAATTTTTCAGTCACAAATAATAACTTTGAAACAAGTATTGATAACTCTACATTCTTTATACGTCGACATACTCACTTAGAAAGACAAAAATATTTCTTACTTTCATAAAAAAACTAATGCAAGTAATACAGTCTTTGAGAACTCTTCTGTTTTTAGAAAAAATATGCCATCAGTTTTCAGGAATTATGTAAGTTATCATGTTTGTTGGCCCAGTTTCCTTCTTTTAATTTTGTTTTTATTTTGTTGATAGGAAAACAACCGTTTTGTACTTATTTCTATTTTTTGCTTGCCTTACATTTGGCTGGCTATCTATCCATCAGATAATTATCTTCACACAAAGCCAGTATATTCAATCTGAATATGTATATTCGTACCACTTTTGCGGCTTGCGTCATCATTAGGTACCTATTCAATTGTATCGATTTGTTTGCTCTCAAAACAGACTCAACTTTGCTTTGTTTACTTTCAAAGTAATCTCTTTCGAATGCAAATAGCAGTTAAAGGGTTAATAAAAGGCCACACAGACAATTTTGAATAGGCTTATTCAATTCAAACCCCGTTGGGATAATTTTTATTCATGATAAACCCTTAAAGTATGACGTAGCTCTAAAAAAAAAATTTTACTAAATGTTGTAGGTGCCTAGTATTTAAAGTATTTATGTCATATTTTGAGGGATAAAGATTGTATAATCACAATAAAACAACAGATTCTTACTCTACTATTTTGTTTTGTGTGTTGCCAATCGACTCTACAATGTTTCTAATTTTTATTGCAAAATCACAAATTAAAATAAATAAGATGCTTCAATTTTCAGCTTTTGGCGCATCCCTTTGTGCAATAAAGAGTCTAAATTAAAATAGGTGTATGCAGTTTTCGGGATCGAACAATAAAAAAAATAAAACTGCTGGCTGGAATTAAAAATTCCACTTCAATTTTCGAACGTAAAACAAAACATGATCACCATTTATAAAATAAATTGAGCGCTTTTCCAATGAAGAGAGAAGGTACCTACTCAGTAATTACGTTATAGATTGCTTTATCACTGTCCAAGTGTTCGCAGAAATGACTCACGGAACGCAATCGCATTTTGTCGGCCGAACGAATTTATCTCCGTGACCTTTGTAGTTGAGAGAATGAAGCGTGTATTTTTGGAATTTTGTCGATGACTTTTCATTAAAGTATTGTCTTTGATGTCCCTTTTTATTGGTTGCCAGAATCGCAAATATCTATGAGTTTGAGTACCTACTCTCGTCAGTTAGTATGAATCTACAGGGTAAATCCATTACGAAATTAATAAACTTTAGATTAATTAAAGATCAAAAAGAGTCGTAAATGTCCAGTCCTTCTTTAGATAATATTGTAAATCTTAGATATAAGTAGGTATTTAAGATAGTAATATGTTAGGGATAGTATTAAGAAACACGTTTTAATTAAGTACCTTTTAGTATCTTCAGAAACTTTTCCGATTTTCTCTTAGAGGGGATACCTACATAATAAACCTATAGTTAGCAAAAAGTGCTGCATGGAAACAATAAAGACAAACAAGGTTAGCTAAAATGGTTTAACTGCTCTTAAAGTTATTTTTACGACAAAACTATTACGTTTCGAGTTATTTTGCGTTTATTTTATTGGCCACCGATAAATAGTTACGGCATTAAAAGCTCATAAAGTAAATAATGATTGCGTTCCTATTTTACGAGTACAACCGACTTGACGTAATTATTGGGAACTCAGCTACTAGACAAAGGTCGCGGATTCGACCCCCGTATAAAATACAGGTTGACTTTGCAATCAGTATCCAATTTTTTTTGATAAGCTCTACGTTGAAAATTGGCACACGTGGTTACTATTTCGAAACCGCGGGTACCTAGCTGATAAAAATCATTTAATATAAAAAAAGTTTTTTTAAAATATAAATCGATGGTTACTGATTCTGTCTGAGTCGCTCCTAAAAATTTTAATACTGATTGCAAAATCACCTGTATACTTATCAAGGTACAGTACAGTTTATGTGCACTAAATAACCATACCTTTACATAGTTGCACTGGGTGTTTCCTATAGTCTTATTCACTAAAAAAGGTATATAACTTACTTCGAAGTTTGGCAAATTCTCCTTGCCTTGAGATTGTATGGAGCTCGATTATTGATTACATGCGACTGTATTCCTAATCTATACAGGTTTATTATTTTATCAATGTCTAAATATTACAAAACCAACACAATTACCCTTTTATGAGGACTTTTACTTTTAATACTCCGTAATTCAAAAATAACTAGTAAGTAGGTATTTTCCTTAATATCTTTCTCAACCCACGCTCCTTATTGCTCTTCCAAGAAAAGAAAAATACATAATAATCTTTCAGCGATCCTCCCGTCCCAATCGGCTTATTTTGCAAATTGAATACAAATTGTTGTACAGACAGACGTCGATTTATCTTCGTTACGAGACAGAATCTAAGATTACATTGTAGAGAACAACAAATAACCAATGTTACGAAGGTAAGGGAAATCGAAAACAATGTAATTTTAGTCTTTGACCCATTTTATACCCTTCTTCAGCTCTTGACTTCCAGAATTACAATCAAAGCAATTTTTCATTTTAAAATGGGACGCATTATCATCATCAGGTCATTTACTTGCTTAAGTGAAGCAGCAAATCGAACGCACAGCGTTGAATAGAGCTCTGTAATTAATTCGTGTCACCCTGTGCGTCCACGCGCACTGTGAGAACTCATAGTAATGTTTGTGAATACGACGGGCGAATGTCTCCACTGCAGAAGAAACCCTTACCAAATGCAAATTGAGGATTTGGCTATACTCTTCAGTTCCAGAGATAGACCCTCTCGACTAGGAGATATTGGGTAGAATGCTCAAATGGGTCACATAGTCACTGCAGGAGCATACCTATCCTTTCTAATTTACCAGAGGCAATTGAAAGATTTGAAGAGGCCTGATGTTCTGTTCACAAAGTGCCTTTGTCGCCTTTCACGTTACCTTATGGAAAAATGGAGGCAATTACGTATTAATATTCTGTAATTTGTTGTTCTAGTGTACCAAATAAATGTATTTTCTTTCTTTCTTCTTTCTAATTAGTGTAAAATTACCTTTTACATTTTTTCACCTGTTACAGGGTTGAATCAACCTGACAGCCAAAAAAAACATGTTCCTGTGCTTTGGAAGGCATGTTAAGCTGTCGATTCGATTAAATCATGTGACGTCATACGACGGCTCATGTAGCGTTATGGCGCAAGTACACTATGCGGAAAATTTTACCGAAACGAAAGATCTCACACCAAAGCACGGGTTGGCGAAGGAGAAAGTAACCGAGATGGTGTTCACACTTATTACGTCTCTGCCAATTTCTCACATAGTGTACTTGCGCCATTACAGCAAAACATAAATGCCTACATACATTACCTTTTAGGATTGTGATTTGAGTAACTCCCACACGATCGTAATTAAATACTCTTTGAACATTTCACAAAGGCGTGGGTATTAACTACGTGCTTTATGTCGATATTTTTGCATTTATATTGCTAAATGTGATTGTGATTCGTCTGGCTTAGGTGGGACTTGAATCTATGACCTTTCGTTATTTATCGGGTGACTGACTTGACCCATGTTTTTCAAACCATAAAAGTTGGATAGATAGCGTAACTAGGGGCTGACTGATCAATCATCTAATAACTTTCAACTGAATAAAACGAGACTGGCCAATTGACAGTTAAAATGTAAATTTAATTCTTCAGATAAAAGATATTCCATGGTTGAAAAACCAACTCTAAAGCATTGAAGATTGCTAATATTCCTATACTATTTAGGTACTGTTTAAAAGTTTCAACATCATCATCATTTCAGCCATAGGACGTCCACTGCTGAACATAGGCCCCCNTTGTTGATCGATTGGTAGCGGCCTTTAAAAGTTTATTGTTAATAAAAGTAGGTAGTTTAATGTTAATGAAATATCAGTTATATAGGTAAAAGGCTTTATTTTCAACAGATTCACAAGCAGTAATCAGGGCTGAACAAAATCAATAAGGCCTTAAAAGCTTCATCACGACAATGTAATTGGAAGGCCAGGGCTGTCAACCTTGTGAAACACAATTAATATTTCACTATTTAATGACATTTTACCTTGTGTTCGTGTAAATAATATTGCTATATTTATCATTACAAATAAAGCCTTATTTGTATGCTGATTCAACAGACGTTAAAAAGATGTTTCTGTCATTAAAAAATTATTACCATACCAATTAACATTCCGTGGAAAAAAAGACGTTAAGTTTTTCCCGAATTCAAAATGGTTTTAAAAACTTTTCCAATTTTCTCTTCACAAGAATCTTCCTCAGAAGAATGTTTGAATTATAATTTGCCGCATTTATCCAGTCATTTTTTTAAAGTAGCATAAGAAGTTAATTTACACATATTCTTTATGAAGATAATTTAGTCAGAAAACATATTCCACCTTCTGGCGAAGTCGGATAAAAATAGCCCATGGCATACATATTATTTATGTACCTATTTACTAAGGCTGCACCATATAACTTTAACTAAAACAAACGTCAAAAATCTATCAAACTCCATCTAAAAAATACTGGTTATCGTTATAGTATACCT